CGGGAGGCAGTGGAAGACAGGGGGGCCTGGCATGCTCTGGTCCATGGGGTTATGAAGAGTCGGACATGAGTTAATGACTAAACAGCAACAACAACGATATTAAAGACTGAAAACCACTTCTCCTACACTACCATATAACTGAATCTTCACCTCACCCCCTTGTCCAGATGTCTTTGGCCAGGGAGTGGCCAGGTAGCAATTCTGATAAAATCTAACTTGGAGGTTGGCTTTTGGCTTCCTATCTTAACAAGCTAAATTTTGCTTCTGTGACACTATGTCTACTTTCCCACATCCTTGGTGAAAACCTGTACCACAGTCACTTTCTGTACAGTACCCCTATCTTGACAATACTTGATAGCAGCAAGCTGATGCATTAGGGCAGACAGACAGACAGACCCGTCTGTCACAAAGCACCTCCTGTTGCTGTGCATGGATTAAAAAAGAACAATAACAAGCGATTTCTCATGCTCTTCTACCAGGTTGATTTCGACCTTTTCCCTTCCGGGGAATCCAAGCCTATCCCTCCATTTCCAACCATTTATTGGTCTTTTCCAGAAGTACAGTACCTGTTTTCCCCTCAATCTAACCCTTCTCCCCCCACCCCACGCTCCCCGCATACCCAAACCCTGTTCGCTTTGCGTCAGCTCAAGCCCCAGCCAATCCGCCTTGAGCGGGCGGGGCTTGCCTCCCTCCAGGTTGGAGGGAGGGCGGGCTCTTTCGGGCACCCCTGATTGACAAGAGTGGGCGGCGACGTTGCCTCTCATTGGCTGGTCCGCGGGAACGCAGGGATAGGTGGGCGGGACCGAGCGTGCAAGTGCGCGCAGGGATACGATACGAGCGCCGGGGAGGAAGTGGAGAGGCCTCCCGGGCGGAGGATGGTCCCCGCGGTGGGGTCGCAGCTGCTGAGACCGCCCTCTACTCCGCCGGTGAGTCCCTCTGGCCAGGGTCGTGGAGGGGGGACGGGAGGGGGCGGGGCAAGTAGGCGCGCGACCCCTTCCGACCTCTCCCCCCTCCCCGCTGTGGACTCCCTCCCTTGGGGGTGCAGCGGCGGCCGCGGCGACGGCTTGCTTTTCCTCAGCCCTGTAGCAAAGGGGACATCCACCCACCCACCCACCGGTTTGTTTGCCCGTGTCGGTGACCGTGTGAACACGGGCAGCTTTGTGGAAGGGCTTCGTCGAGTCCCCCATGTTGCCGGCCGCCCGTCCGTCAGTGTTTGGAAGATAGCTTGCCCTTTTTTTCTGGGGAAGCTCCCGGCTCCGCCACCCGTTAGGCTGGCAGTCGCCGGGTGGGAATCGTCTGGCGGTTGCGGCGGCCCCAGAGCTCCCCTAACGGGGAGGGGGGGCACGCGTTGTCAGCGGCGGGGCCTGAAAGAGGCTGGTGGGGGGCCCTCCAGAGGCTGCCTCCCGCCGCCGCCGCCGCTGTCGTTCCCCCTCGGTACTTGAAAGCCGAGTCCTTCGGGGCTGCTAAGGCCCCCCCCCCACGTTAGGGACCTCTTTGCAGGTGGGAAAGCCCGGCTCTCAACGGCTGGCAGAGAAAGCTGCCAGCAACTTCGGGGCTGCTAAGGCCCCCCCCACACGTTAGGGACCTCTTTGCAGGTGGGAAAGCCCGGCTCTCAACGGCTGGCAGAGAAAGCCACCAGCAACCGGGGCTTAGAATGAGCAAGTTACAAGTAACGTCGTTCTCTGCGAGCTGCTAATGTAACGATCAGCACGGTTGGTTGGCACAACATTTGGGGGGGATGTAACCCTAACTTCTATTTTAAGAAGTTACTTGCAAGGGACTCTGTGGTGTAAGGCACACCTACAGACATGTTTATGCGAATAGTTCCCATTTTGTGCCATGGCTTTATCAATCCTAAGTGGCAAGGGACGTTGGGTCTTGTGTTGTTACCGTCTGTCACCTATATTGACTCTTTAACTGGGCTTTCAAGGTAAGTGAGTTATTTAAGGAGTGGTTTTACCAGTTCCGCTCCCCCAGTGAGTTTCCATGGTTGAGTGGTGATTCGAACCCTGCTCTCCAGAGTTCTAGCATGGCACTCTATCTGCTATCCCACACTATCTTTTATATTCTGTAAATGCGTCCAAGGTACAGCATCTGACCTTCTCACTCCATGGAGCTACTGAGTATTCCCCTGTGTTTTGCTGGCATGTTGATAAGGCCAGGACAACAGTAAGGGCCCAGGCAATTAAATACTTATGTGGTCCACGTAACAATAAGGACAGCATAACTGTTAAAAGGCGAAAGATTTATACGATCTGAAGAGACACCAGAGTATAGGACAGTATAACTGTTGAGAAGTTATAGTAATGCAAAGAGTTAAAAAATTTAAGTTCTGGGTACAGTATTTTCAGGAGCTTTTATTTTGTTTAAGCAGTGTACCTGTCAGTAAGAAGTTTTTGGTCTACACACAAGTGAAGGGGCATCTAGCTTTATGCCAGAAATTGGGGTGGTGGTGGTACAATATCTTTATTGGGATCAATGATGAATTAATTCATAAGACGCACAAGCTTCCACAGAGATGTCTCACTGACTGCTGTTGAAATTTCTATGGGACTGGAGAGCTTGACTCAGCAGGACATCTCTTTCAACACTTTAGGAATTAAATTATGTTTCCACTATTTTTAGTATGCTAAGTACTGTGTGGTAAACTGCATTATAATTTCAGTTTTATCCCAGATGGGGAATTCAGTTATCCAGTGCTAAGGTAGTAGAATATCTGCTAACCTTTTCTCATGCTGAAGACAAAATAGATATTGAAATGTGTCATTTTACACACACAGTGGTTAGTAAGGCCCCAAACATATGTGTCAGGCTTGAGCCCTAATATTTGGGTGAATGAACTCTTACGATCAGTGGAGGAGGAAGCTTTCATACACAGCAGGATGCCATTGTATATTTGTCTCTTTTTACTGAAACAGGTGATTTCTTTCTATTCCCGTCATACTTCAAGTCAATTTGATTAAGGCCTCGTAAAAGTCCTATGAAATACTGTACATCCTTCAAAATTTCCAATCTAACACTTGGTCCTGGGGAAGTGTTCTAGAGCTGATTTTTAATTAGTTCAGATGTGTATTTTTGTTTGCTAAGTGAAATGCCTTAATAGTCAACCGATTGCTTTGTTTTTCTGTTTATTAAATCCTTTATGTTAGTATGCATACATGTGTGTGCATGAGCAGTGTGGTATAGTGGACAGAGTGATGGATTAGAACTCCAGAGGCCTGTGTTCAAATCCCTGCTCAGCTATGGAAACTCACTGGGGGTGTGGAACTGGTAAACCCACTTCTTAAATATCTTACTTCCCATGAAAGCCCTATTAGGGTTGCTATAAATTTTTCCAACTTGATGGCTCATAACATGGGCACACATACATCCTTCAGGTTTTTTGTGTGGGGCGGAAATGTGCATTTGCTCACTTGCTAGACTCTAGCTCTCAGTCCTGTGCACACCTACCTGAGAATAGATGTCATAGAAATGTTTGAGGGGAAAATAAGCAAAGACTTAATCTGGGCAAGAGGATTGGAAATTGATTTGTATGAAGATACACTCCTTTAAAGAACTAAATAGACAGTTTAGGGTTTGCGTTAGTCTTGGCTAGATAATAATAGATTCTGAGAACCACACATTTTCATGAGGTCCTCTTCAGACTGTACGAATGAAGTTCTAACTGAGTGGTAGAGGGCAGGCTTTAAGTATGCATCCCCATTCCTACTATAACTAGAGCCTGCCACGATTTCAGAATGCAACAGCTAAATACAGCTTTTAACTGACCATTATTTGTTGGTAGCCATGATCAAGGATGCCTTTTATCAAATGTGATGTGCCTGTTTGGAACTGTAAGGCCTTGCTGTGGTACTTGAGTCCCTAATTATCTTTAATCTGAATTACTGCAATTTGTTTTTTTGTTGGACTACATTTGAAAACTTAAATTGGTGCAAAATATGGCCTTCAGAATGGTGATTGGCCCATAAAATATAACTACATTAGTTTTGTATCTTTTGCTTTGATGACCAATTTGATTTTGCTTTACCTAAAGGATTTACTTCATGTGTGCAGTCTTTTACCAAGGGTTTTCTCCTAGAATTGCCAGTTAGAATAATTATATGCATGTCAGGTTAGGCGGAGAATAAACTGGCTCCTGTCAACCACGTATCTCATAAATGTTAAGGCTACCATCCCTGCTTTATAAATTATTGAAGCAAACGTGAATAAAATTGGAATTGCCTGGTTATGCTTCATCCAGTCCTCTTTCTCTCTCTCTTCTGCATCTACTTTTTGAACAGCAGTTCAAGACTCCAGAATAAATGTTAGATTTGGAAGCTCAAGTATATTTATGGGGTTCCACTCTAAGAAAAAGATGGAATGTTCTTTATAATTGCCACTGGTTGATTTCAGTAGAGACGTTTTGTTGACTGTCAAATTAGGGAAAGAAACATTAAATATTTTTCTAATATACAATTAACACCTAGGTAATATTTTTCAAAGACTTAACTTTTTCACAGTATAATTATAGGGTATAAAGAGGCCTAGAGATCATAATGGTCACCTTCCTACTTTAAGGAAGCATCTTCAACATTTCACTTCTGACAGCAAAATAGTCCTGTTTTTTCACTGAGCAAAATGGTCATGGATGATCTAGTCACCTTGTCCTGTTCTGCTCAGAACACGTTTCAATTTCATGTCTGACCAGATAAAGGCTAAGGCAGAGACTCAGTATTTAGTTAAGGACAATCCAAAACAGAGTCACAAGGCACTCAAAGTTCTGTGTTGAGAGGATACAACCAGAAGATGGATCGTAAAGGACCTAGAGCCAAGTGATCAAGGAAGACAGCAACAGGGACTAGAGCACTGGTTCCAGCAGCCTTATTTGTCTTGAAGCAGCTGTTACATACCTGAGTTTCCAAAGCCCTAGTCACATCTCAAATGGCTATGGGGGAAAGTAGAATCACTCATGTAATCCTCAATGTATGTTCTAGAGTAGTGCAGCTCAGGCATACGTTTTATAACCTTGTGAAAATCAGGCCCAGTGCAAGTGTGTATACTGTATATGTTTTACACAGAGAACAGATAAACTGAACAATGTTATTAATTCATACAATTTTAAGGCAGCCTTTTAAGTTCATCTTACTCTTATGAAGCATATTTTCTTCTGGGCTTAATTAAATGTCTGACTTCTTCATCTGAAATAAATTATCCAATTTTCCTCTAATTCATCTTGTATTTGCTGATGCTTGTAAAGCTTCTGATGAGCATTGGTCATAATCCTGTTGGTGTTTGCTTACGTTTTGTGTAACTTGAAGCTAATTGTCACTATATGCACTGAGGTGCATCTCAGACAGGTGTCTGTTCACAGGTGCAACTGCACAACTAGAATGTACCCCAACACCTCAGCTTCAGTTAGCCATGGGAAATTACACAGGCCTTGCATTTACACTAATAAGATTCCCACCATTATATTGCATCTGAGCCCTCTGCTTTTACTTAAAGCATAGCAGATCTCTATTGACTAGGTAGATGTATTGCAATGTCTGTATTATGAGTCAATTACAGTTCTGTAGTGGGGTTTTTGTGGTTATTTTGACCTAAGACAAGATTATGTCTTATTGGAAATAATACGTAATTGTAATGATATTGCATCTATTTTCTTGCAGTCATATTGTTTAACCTGATAATGTGGTGTGAACTTTAAAGAAATATCCAAGTGCTTTTTCAGTTTGTTGGTCTCAGTACTGCAGATTTGTGCTACACAATTCATAGCTTGTCTTCTGATCTGCTAAATTTGAGAGAATTATGATTTTTAAAAATGAATTGTCACTCTTCAGAGTCATACAATTGGAGATCCTTCTGTGTTGTGAATCTTATATAGTCCTCTGGTTAGAGACCAGAACATCCTCTCATAAATTAACCTGAGCAATTCAAACTACATTATACAGCAAACTTAGATAATTCATGGTAATAATGAGAAAGTAAAGGTAGTCTTTTAGCTGAAAACCAGTATGAGAAATAATGGAAGGAAGGAAGGAAACGTGCTGTTTTTCAAGTTGTACACAGCAGGAGAAATTGTGTTCGTTTCATTTTTAGAAGTAAAATTTGAAGGAATTGTCACTTTCCCCTGGTTCTGATGATCATCATTTACATTTAAAAGAATGTGTAAAGCATTGTTCTACCAAATTTGTAGAATTTTGATAGTTTTTATCTTTCACACTTAAAAAAACACCCTTTATAACAATCCCTTGTCAGTGGTGAGTGCAAATAAGCTGCACGCAGGATGGATAAAAATCAATGATTTTTTAAAAAGCAGATTGATTTAAATGACAATTTAATTTTTTAAAAATTGATTTTTTAAAAATTTAATTGCCAAAAAAATTGATTAAAAAATTAACTGGGATTTAAATCAAATCCACCCTGGCTGCAGCTGACTAAATAATGAATCTTTCTATGAGTGGGTCATATAAAGGCATAAATAAGGTGTGTGCAAATAGGCAGTCTAGAATCTTTTGGGTTCTTATTGACTCAGTGGACTCTGCTGACATAAACAAAGTACCACAAGAAGCAAGTGGAAGTTTAGTTATGAAGAATAGGGAGAAATACATGAAGAGGGTTTGCCAGTACATCTATAATGCTTGGTGTTTCTAGAATTATTATTAGTATTTTGTTTTCTTTTCTTTTTTAAGATTCTTCTCTCTCAAGCAATGCCAGAGATGACAGAAAAGGCTCCTCTTAAAAAGCAGCACCGGTAAGTAGCCTGACTGCAGAGAAAGCAATGCCCACAAGATTCAGGGTGGAGGGTGGCAGGAGCCAAAGGACTGCTGCAGGCAGTGCCAGCCACCTCTAGTTTGCTATCCATTCTTCTACGTTGCAACAAGACTTAGTCCACCTTAACAATTTATTAACTGGTTAGCATCTGACTGGAAAAATAGTGTCGTTCAGTCTTGTTCTTACTTTTGCACTATGATAACAGCACTCAAAGTGGTTTACAAGTTAGGACTGTATTGGTTTGGAAAGATTCCATGCTGCTTCACTTGATCTTGTGCTAAGAGAAAAGTTGTGTTGCCCCAAGAGTCAGCCCTGTCATCTGCATAGGAATCCCTGTGCCTGCTGAAAGACTAGACTGAATATATATATATATCTGTGCTGGGACAAACTAGGGATTCTCAAGATATACCTGTTACATACAGCACTGATGTTACCTGTCTGTCATGGGTTGGAGGGAAAGTTCCATCCTATGGGGAGTGGAAGGCGGGACATCAGGAGGAGGGGCTGTACTGTATATAAATGTGGAGTTTGTGTGGAGAAGCAGGAGAAGCTGGAGGAGAGCTGGGAAGAAGAAGCTGGTGTGGGAGTCTGTGTGTCAGACAGGGTACTACTGTGTGTCAGTCAGTACCAACCTGATAGGTTCAGGTGTCTGTATGGTTAGCCAGAACTGATAGGTTCAGGGTCTGTGCTTTATTTAAAGGTGTTCTGTGTGAACCAAACTGGTGTATGTATGATTGAGACTAAGCCACGTTACTGTATCTTATTCACTTGATCATTTTATTTTCCCTGTGTGTCATTTAAATAAACCTTATTCCTTTATTTGTTAGAAATCCATTCCTGGTCTGTGTGACTCCTTACAGGGAATGGTTGGTGGCAGCTTAGTGAAACTGTGGCATATCCCAGTAGGTCTGGGGTTGTCACAATACCATCCACCCAGCTGTGCACAGTCTCTCTTTCTGAACTATCTAAGATGGTTCTGAGGGTGATTTTGCATTCACCTCAGTTTGCTGGGATGGGTTTTTTATTGTTCCACCTGTGGCTGCTCTGCTATGAATAATTCAGGATTTCATGGCAGCGACGGGTTCGTTCCAGTTGGTTTCTGATCCTGTTCATTATGAAAAGCAAACACTGGACCTTTTCCTGTTTGCTGAGTGTGGAGAATCTTTTTGTAGTTTCACTGCCATGACTAGATGACTACCTGGCAGGGTTTAATTCTCTAGAATGTAAACCTCTGTAGAGATTCAGAGCTGATTAAGATGCTGTGCTCCCAGAAAGCTGATGCCCTTTCTTGATACTTCTTGGGGATGTTTTGTTTTTTGTAGGCAATTTTTTATAAGCCATTGTTGGTCTGTAAAAGCCAGAATGGAGAGGTGTCCCATATAGTAGACGCAAACACCTCTCAGATGCTCCTTACATGGACTAGCTCCCTGGTTTTTCAGAGAGCTGTTGAAAATGAAATGAGTGGGAGAGAGACTAGAGTGATGTTTTTGCAGGTTTTCAGCTAAGTTCAACTCAATATGGGCCAAAGCCTGTTTAAAGGCCGTATCCATAGTTGTGTTTGCAACAACAAAAATTATTCATAGATGCTGCCATTGTCAGGATTCTGTCTTGTTCTTCATGAACTACTGATAGAGGTTTTTAGAGTTTGGGCATCCAGTGATCCCTCCTGGCTGGCTGGCTCAGTGAATTGGTGTACTCTGGGGTTAGGAATTTCATTCCCCACTCTACCTCCAGAAGAAGAACCAACCCGTGTACTCTTGGGCAAGCAGATTAGTCTAAAGAGCACCACCAGAAGAAGGGAATGATAAATCACCTCTGAATACTTCATACTTAGAAACTTCAACTTAATGCTTCATCATCATCATGTCTGTTATTGTTGTCCTAGCAACTGCCAAGTCATGCTCTCCTTTCAGTGTAAAGTCAAGGAAGGCGTTCTAAATTCTTCTGTGGTATGGACAGAGGTGTCAGTAATAGTCAGAATGAGGGTGATGCTTTTTCCAAACAAAATGGAGGTTTTTCTGGTGAGCTGAGGAGAAGATTGGGGCTAAGATTTCAACCTCAGTTAGATGGGGATTGAAACTCCTCTTAAAGGGCCTGAACCTTTCCCCTGTACTTAGCCAGAAGGTGCATGCCCTTGTTTCAGTGACAGCCAGGAGAGTGCACAGCTGAGGTTAGAACAGTAGTTGTACCTGTTTCTGGAAATGTCTGATTTGGTTATAGTGACACTTACCTTGTGTACACCCTTTTGGGATGACTTTAATGTGGTGTACATGAGGCTAGAAAAGGGACGTGGTGGCGCTGCGGGCTAAACGCAGAAGCCTCTGTGCTGCAAGGTCAGAAGACCAGCAGTCATTAGATCGAATCCACGCGACGGAGTGAGCTCCCGTCACTTTGTCCCAGCTCCCACCAACCTAGCGGTTTGAAAGCATGTAAATGTAGATAAGTAGATAAATAGGGACCACCTCGGAGGGAAGGTAACAGCGTTCCGTGTCTATGTCGCACTGGCCATGTGACTACGGAAGATTGTATTCTGACAAAACGCTGGCTCTGTGGCTTGGAAACGGGGATGAGCACCACCCCCTAGAGTCGAACACGACTGGACAAAAATTGTCAAGGGGAACCTTTACCTTTACATGAGGCTAGGTTGGAAACTGTTCAGAAACTTCAGTTGATCCAAAATCAGCCCTGGAATGTTAGGTATTAAAATCTGTTTCTGCCCCAAAGGCAAAGTGTGATTTGGACCAACTTATCTAATTTGTCCCTTCAATTTTGATAGTGGTGAGGCAAAAGCAGTGAGAATCAGGATGTGTAATAAAGGGTCTGACTATGCCCACTGACCTGAAACAACCTTAATGTGTTTCTTGAAGTTAAGCTTCACTGACTTCAATGACACTTCTGAGTGAAAGTACATAGGACTGGACTGAAATTGCTTAATCGAGTTTATCTGCTGGCCTCCTTTTTAAATTAAATATTAGTAATCTCAATTTATGACAGCTTTTTCTCATTTTGCAAAAATTAGTCTAAAATGAACTGCTGCTTACCTTGTTTGAGAAATTGAATTATAGTGTGAACATGAAATTAAATTAACATATGCTGTAAGTAAATCTCCTGCTAAATGTAAGGATATTGGAGGTAATAGGTCTGATTCTGTGTGGCTCTGTTTTGTTTCCCTTGTGTCCTTTATTTCCAGCACCTGTTAAATAACCTATGTATATGGAGATGTAGAAAACATAAGAAATTGTGCATATTACAAGGTTTTGTTTATTGCCAGGGCAATCTAATGTCCTTCAGTTATGTATAGATAAGTGCCTAAAGCAGGATGGGGCTCTGTGGCTGCATGGTTTTCTGCTGCAAGGAAAGGGGAATTTCTAGTTCTGGAGGCCTCCAGGAGCACCAGTTACTCATTTAAATGTCACAGGGTTCCTGCAAACCACAAAGTATCAGACTTGCTGAAGCTGCCCACCCCAGTCTGAAGTTTCATTAGGGAAAGCATTCATACTATGTAATGCTGCAATTGTGTGTGTATGGTTAGCAGTGGTAAATTCTTCTCTTACGCATAGCAGGTTCTTTAAAGAATGCATTGTAGTACTGCATTCATGGAAGTAGAATATGCATATTGGAGAGCTATGGTGTAAATGTTCTTTTTTTTATCCTCCCTGGTCTTCTGTTCTTTTGCTGCCAAAAAAGAAGGGCTTTATTTTGCACATTATTATAGATGAAATGAAAGATCCAAGATGGCAAGACTCACAAAGTCTTTATTCATATTTTCTTTTTTAATATGTTCTATTTAATAGAAAGAAGAACCGCGAAACGCACAATGCAGGTAAGACCTTCAATGCTTTTGTGGCCTGAATTCTGTTTAGGGATTTTTAATCTTAAAAAAATTCAAACACAGGGGCATTTTTGTATTTGGGAAAGTCTTCTTTTTGGAGTAGGCTGTCAGTATATTATTTGACATATTGTGCCTTCTGTTTTCCTAGTGGAGAGGCATCGAAAGAAAAAGATAAATGCTGGAATAAACCGAATTGGTGAGCTCATTCCATGTTCCCCAGCACTGAAACAGGCAAGCAGTTCCTTAATGTTTTAATGAATATACACAGAGGTTTATTTTGAAGCTGACTTGCTAAATGACCTGGTTCACATAATCAAGATATCAGTTTAAAAAGCTGAATTGGGCACAAGAGTCAGGCGCTGTGTACAGCCATGTTGTTCCTTCATATAAGTGAATGAAAAAGACAAGAACTCCTTTATCTACTGTTTTTGGCTTATGTTTGAACTGCACTATGATTTACAGAAACTCAACAAGCCAGGATACAGAAACCAACTTCAAACTGTAGCTTCATGTTCTGGCTTGTTTGGACAAACTTTCTGGTGTGGACATCCATCTGTAGCTGTATGATGATTCTTGGCTTGTTTTACTGCTGTTGCAAAAGGTGTATCTGAATGAGTGCCTGAGATTTGTGTAGATCTGTGCTTATGTAGCAAAACCTTGATCATTCCTACATGGTCAGTAGTTCTCTTACTGACAGTTCTGACTTTCCCTGAATATTTGATGTGTGAAGAGTTTCATGATCAAGGCAGCCATCAGCAAGGAATAACCTTGAAATATTTGGAAGGAGATTTTGGGGGGTGGTTCTTCTTGCAGTTTAACACCTTCCCTAGTAGCCTTAAGACATCGTGTCTAGGCATTAAAGGTGTGAAAAGGTGCCTGAGTGGTGCCGGTGACCACCTGAGGAGTGTGTGACCTCTGAGGGTAGTGACAAGAGATAGGGACTTTCCAGGTATGACCTTACCTGTGGAACATGATCCAGAGGGATCCAATTTATCTTTTTGGCCCCTAGTTTATTTCTACTCCCAAGAATTTTGTCAGATGTGATCAGGCAGTTTTAAAAAAATTTTCCCTATAATTTGTTGTTGGATAGTAAGTGTTGCTTTTTATCATATGTTGTTTTCATTGTCTGTAAATTTTGTCTTCAAGAAAAATAAGGTATTTTTCTTTAAAATGGATGTCCAAAAATAAGAATAATGTTAATATATATGTGTAAATATTATCAGGAGTTTCTGCTTTTTTGTTGGCAACTTGGATAAGCTAACTTAACCCTTTAAGGTAAAGGTCAAGGTCCCCCTTGACAAATTGTCCAGTTGTGTCTGACTCTAGGGGGCAGTGCTCATCCCCATTTCCAAGCTGTAGAGCCAGTGTTTGTCCGTAGACAGTTTATGTGGTCATGTGGCCAGTGCGACTAGATACGGAATGCTGTTACCTTCCCACCGTGGTGGTACCTATTTATCTACTTGCATTTTTACATGCTTCCGATCTGCTAGGTTGGCAGGAGCTGGGACAAGCGATGTGAGCTCACTCTGTCGCGTGGATTTGAATTGCTGATCTTTCGACCTTGCAGCCCAGAGGCTTACGGTTTAACCTGCAGCGCCACCACATTATTATAGGATGAAAGGAGTCAGATAAAGACTTATAGGTGTTAGCTTTGGAGGCAAAGTCATTGTTGGAAACAGTACCTGGAGACAAGATGAGGTCTACCCACTGAGAAACAAATTTTTCAGAGGTCAGGTGTTTCTTCTTTAGTAGACTTGTTGCCTATGCCTTACTGCTGCTCAGTTACTGGATCCACTAGGAATGGTAGACCCGTTATCTGATGCTACGAAGGTGTTTTATAAATGTGCAGCCAGACACATAGGCTGGAAACCTGTTGGTGTAACTATGTCTGTAGAAAGCTGGTGATGTTATCAGCAGGAGACAATTTTTGCAAACAAGCCCACCCTCACACCCCAAAAAACCCTCCTACTTCTATCTCATGGCTCTTTTGTGATCCCCTTCATTGTCTGGAAGCTGTGGAAGCTGCAGGATGGTAGAAAGAATTCTATAGTTACAGAAAATTGAGCCCTACTGTTGATGTAATCAGCCTTCTACTGATGTACTTAGTTTTTGGCCATAGTGTGTCCATTTATAGGGGGAAAAAGTGTTCTAAAGGAACATCTCTCCTGCTGTGTTTTTAATTTGTAGCATGATTTCTGAGTCACCCTGAATGCTATTTCCTAGTGGAAAAGTGGGATATAAGTGTAATAAATAAAATCTGTGCTGTTCAGAATTCAAGTCATGGTGAAGTTATTACATTTGCTGGTATCAAAAAAACCCCATTGCCTGCTAATAGTGAAGGGTGTTTCAGTTTGCTCTGGAATTAGTAAACTTTAGCTAAACATAATTCTTTTTCTTCTCATGGCAAAAGAATCTGCATGCTTTACTGCTGTGCCCTACAGAACGATCATCAATGTTTCTACATCAGAAGAGGGCAAGCACAGAAGTGTGTGAGCCATATTTGTCCCCCCCCCCCCCCAATTCTCCTTCATGGTCCACATGGAGCCCTTAAGTGGCTGTTCTAGGCCATTAAGAAAAAAGTAAACTGGGTAGTATTTATTTTGTCAGTTAGGTGTTTGGGATGGGGGACATTAAGGGGTCGGCCTGATGAAAACTAATCTGTGTTTAATATTTCAGTACTCTAAATTTATTGCCCACCCTTGCTTTTGGAACTTGTGTAAAAATCACATGGCTTTTTTTCCCTTTTTGCTCCATATTGATTGATTGCATTAATTTTAGTTCAGGCTGATGTTGTAATTTCACTTGACTGAGCAGGCAGGTTCATGTGGTTACAGATAAAGGCAGCATTGAAAAGTTTTTAAATGTTGATGCATCTCTCTCTCTAAAGATCTCATATGAATCATATTTCCTGCAAACCTGTAGAGCAGAGGTCCCCAACCCCCGGTCTGCAGCCAGGTACCGGTCTGTGGCCTGAACCGCGGAGATAGACTTGCCCCCCAGCCTCTTTGTGCATATGTGAGCGCTCTGCCACCCCTTCCCACATGTGCACGAGTGCCCTCGAACGCTGCGCCAGTCTTCACGCATGTGCGCGAGTGCCCTTCGCTCCTTTGCACATACACACGAGCGCAGGGGGTGCCCCGCCTTCCCTATCCGGTCTGCGGGGTTAAAAAGGCTCTAGAGAACTATCCTGCTTGTGTTTCATACTGTTGTCTATGTTTTTCTTACTTTGCCTTTTCCCTTGCAGAGTAAGAACATGATCCTCGATCAAGCATATAAATATATAACAGAAATGAAGCGTCAAAATGATGAACTTCTGCTAAATGGGGGAAACAATGAGCAAGGTGAGTAGCTCATCAGATGAAACTGCCTTGTGTTGTGTGTTTTTGTCCGTTCTTCCACTCAGTTAGAACTGGTATGTGTGACATTTTGAAGTATCAGTTGTTCTCAATGAGCTGTGTGTCTTAAGTGGTTCGTGGTCTTTTCTCTGAGTGGCTTGAAGTTATCCCCATTCCAAAATAACAGTTTCTCCGGCCACCATAGGATGGTCCCTCAAGCTTGCAGCACTTTCAGATCTGAAGCCCGATGCTGTTCTTTCTTTGAAGAAGTGCTTCATTAGGAGAATTTATATCTGAGTCATTGCTATCTTACTTCTGTAATATGTTATAAATTATTTTGTTCATATGTACTGGATACAAAGAATACGCCTCTTCTGAATATTCCATGGCATGGCTGAAATCCAGTTGCCCGTACGGTAGACAATTGTCTAGTTTTCATTTCATATTCTTCCTGAGAAAAATGGAAGTTGTATTCAAACATTACATAGAAAGCAAGGACAGTGGATTTCTGCAGTTCAGATAATATTTAGCTTTTATTGAGTCAAGATAATAGAATCATTTGATCCCAGTATCATTGAGTACCAGCTTGCAGTGGGTCTTCAGGCTCTTAGTCAGGAGTGTTTTCTTCCTAGCAAAGTTCCCAGTAAAGTGGGCGTGTGCATGCGTGCATCTCTGCCTTCTGGCGTGCAGCTGCCTTCCTCCCCCATGCAGTGATCATGTCAGGTTCTGGACGCGACAGAACTCAGTGGGGGTTGTAGCCTTGCACACACACAGGGGCGAAGTCATGTGTGAGAGGTAGAGCCCCACCCAGTCGGGCTTCAAATTAGAGGGTACGTTGCTTCCTAGTTTCTGGAGGTTTTTATTTTATTTTATTTTTTTGGATTGGTTAGATTTCGACACAAATTATAGTGGAAGCATTCTTTGACACAATGATAACATAAGTAGGCAAGAAGTAAGGCATAGTGTTATAAGTATATCTAGAAAACTCTTAAAGTATTGTCGCAGGTGCTTGAATTTGTTTCTAAACCATTTAGCTGTATTAGACATTACCAGACTCCTTGATTATTGAAATGTATTTATTTTTAAAATTATCTTTGCAGCGGAAGAAATAAAAAAGCTCCGGAAGCAACTAGATGAACTCCAGAAGGAAAATGGTCGCTACATTGCATTATTGAAAGCCAATGACATTTGTCTTTATGATGATCCCACCATCCACTGGAAAGGAAATCTTAAAAATGCAAAAGTTTCTGTTGTTATCCCAAATGACCAAGTACAAAAGAAGAAAGGAAATCTCAAAAGTGGGAATGTTTCTGTTGTTATCCCCAGTGACCAACTCCAGAAAAATATCATTGTATATTCCAATGGTAGTCAACTGGGTGGAAATAGCCAGGGGGCATCTGTTCAAGGAATAACATTTAATATCAGTCACAATCTGCAGAAACAGACAGCAAATGTTGTACCTGTCCAGAGGACTTGCAACTTAGTTACACCTGTGACCATTTCTGGCATTTACACCACAGAAGTCAAGTCTGGGGTTCAGACTTCAGTTTCTCCATTGGTGTCAGACCCACCCAATCCGACCAAGAAGATTCTTGAGCCCTCCACTTCGAAGAATGAACCTATTTCTATTAGTGTTGCTAACTCTATGAACACCTCGCACTTAGTGAGAATCCAGCCTGAAAAGCAGAGTTCACCACGAGATGGAGATGAACCTAAAAATAGACCAGATACCTTGAAGTCAGTTGAGAAGGCAAGCATCCGCCTCCCATCTAATGCGAGTATATCTCATGTTCAGTTGTCAGAAATAGCCCCCAAAGAAGATTCAAGAAGTGGGTCTCAAGAAGGCTGTGTTGTTTCAGCTGCTGATACCACTTGTACTCCATCTATTAGAGTCTCTGTTGATGGGAAGCCATCTGCAGACAAGGTCTTCAAAAGTGTAGATGTGGTAACTGGCAGTGGAGCACCATCATTGTCCTCCTCATCAGAAGTTCTGAAGGCTGTAACAGAAAGCAACACCTTGCCTGCAACTACGTTAGATAAGTGGCCTTTCCCCAGTTCTTCAGGTACTGGCACTTCAGGCTCCAAAAGCTTGGGCAGTCTGACACGAATCACCTCTGCTGGAAACACTCAGACTACCTGGACAACTTTGCAGCTGACAGGAAATACTGTTCAGCCTGTAAATCATACTCCGTCCAACATAATGACAGCTCTGTCAAGCCAGCCAGTGAATGGGGCTAGTATTGCCACTTCCCCTCCAAACAGGATTTTGGCACCTCCTGCTGCTAGTTTAAGTACTCCTATGCTTGTAGATGAACAGACAGCAGAGCAAGTTGTAGCTACTTTGCCTTCCTACCCATCCGTCCCCATGCAGCCACTAGTCACCAAGACTCAGGTTCTGGCGCAACCTGCAGGCAGCCTCCTCTCCTTGAATTCAGCCATGCAGGTGATTCAGATGCCCCAGCCAGTCGTTCCTCCTGTCACTGCATCACCTGTGAATCAAAATGTTGTCATTCTCCAGCCTCCTCAGGCTAGTCCCTGTCTGCCGCTGTTGAGGGCTGACGTCCCCAGCCAGACCGTCAGCCAGCAAATTGTGATTATACAAACTGCTAACCCAAATCCTCTCTCCGTTTTCTCTGCCCCACCTCCTGTCCGAATGCCCGTGAATGGGGCCTCTCCCACAGCAGCTGCTAGCAATTCTATGCAAAATGCCTCTGGGCCTCAGATGTATGGTGGGAAGCACCTTGTCCATATTTTACCAAGGCCGTCCTCTTCCTCATCTTCTAGCTTGACACAGACATTTTCAGTTGCAGTGTCGAATCCACAGCTTCCACAGACTATTTCTTTAAATGGACAGTTGTTTGCACTGAAGCCTGTGAAGTCCTGTTCTGGAAGTGCAGATCAAATCCCTATGCAAATTATTCAGCCTACTACTAGTGAAGATCCAAATACCAACGTAGCTCTCAATACATTTGGTGCTTTAGCTAACCTCAATCAAAGCATATCACAGATGGCTGGACAAAGCTGTTTGCAGACCCCGGCGAGTCAGCCTGCCAATCCAGCTGTCAGCAGCCAGACAACACCAAGTAAGCGTATTCTGCTGGCCACTCCAGCAGTGTCTTCAGCTGCTGAAGGCTCCATATTGACCAGTGTTTCACAAGCAAAAGACCCTTCTCCCTCCAAAACGCCTCTTGGTTTAGGCTCAAATCTGCCTAATAAAAACCTAGGTAGTAAAAAAGACTCAACAGCTGAAAGCAATTTTCCATGCCAAACAAATTCTTGCAAAGATTCCAAGAAACCTGCAAATGATAAAATAGAGACTACACGTGAACATTCAGAAAGTGACATCTTGCTGGAAAATGTAGCCGTTAACATGTTGCAAAACTTTGACATATCCCGAGGAAATAGTAGAGTAACGCCTAACGATGAAAATGTTTCTGAATCTCAGTCCAGTGGCAAACTGCAAGCTGAACAGGATGTGGAATCTACACTAGCACATGACTTAAACACAACTGCACTGCCTAGATCACTGCCCCTTGATTCATCCTTAACAGAACAATTTGAAGTAGTTGCACCAGTGTCCTCCGAAAGTGCTTCTCCTCCACTTCAAAATCATTCAGAAGTGAAATCAAAGTTGCCAGAATCATCCAAATGCATTCCCATTAGCCCTTTAGCTTCCTCTTCTTCTGCCTCAGACGTGACAGCTCCTCAGGTTTCTAGGACACCTGTGAAAAGCGGAGGGACCAGTGCTGAGAGTGTTCCCAGAACAGAGGTCTCAGAGATCTGCCGAGTGGAGCAGAATTGTTCCATAGTAATGCAAGCCACAGATTTGTTAGAAGAACAGGGCCTAACCAAGATGTTGTCTGATTTAAGTAAAGTGGGAGACACTGTACAAAAAAACTTCTCAGGTGAAGTTCAGCACTCCAGTTTTTGCACCCAGAGTTCTCAGTCAGTCATAGACTCAAATGATGACTTGGCAAGCAAACAGGAGGGGCTCTTGCTGATGAACCCTGAAGAGGATAATCTTGCACAGTCTCATCCCTGCACCTCTGAGCAAGAGGCAGGCACAGCTAATAGACAAGCGGACTCTCCCATGTCAACGGGCTCAGGCAGCAGCTGTGGCTTTTCAGTTGCATCGATGTTGCCAGAAACAGGTAGGGAAAATGCTTCCAACAGCACTCTGGTGAATACATGTACCAGTTGCACATTTTCTGAGCAAACAGATATTGTAGCATTAGCAGCAAGAGCAATTTTTGACCAAGAGACGCTTGCAAAAGGTACAGGAGCTGCTGTTTCCAAAGCCGGTGAAGTGGCTTCGTTAGGGAGAGACCAGCCTTTCAAATCTCATGGAGCTAAAAATGCAGATCAGATAGAAGTAGCACCAAACAACTTTAGTACCCAGAATTTAGTGCAAATAAACCTTGACAGGTCAGTAGAAAAACAAAGTTGTTCTGTTGGAGTGGAAATATCCAATGCAACATTGCAAATTCCAGCCCCCCAGTCTTCAAGCACATCAAGCTTGAGTGTCAACAATCTCATACACCAAAGCTGCATCATCCACCCTGCCGTGAGCTGCTCAGGTTTGCCACCACCTTCAGACCAAGCAACTGTTCCTGTGACTGTGACTCAATCTATGCCTGTTAATTCATATCTCAATCAGTCTCCAGAACACTCTCCAGTGTTAATGACAGGCTATGCTTCAGAACAGCTGTCTGCTCTTCGAACAACTGCCATGCAGGCTCCTCTGATGCGTGAACCACACTTAAAGCAGCAAAATCAGGGAACCCGCAAAGACTCAGCCAAGCGATCTGTTCAGGACGATCACCTCCTTTCCACATCAAAGAGACAGAAACAGTGCCAAACAGCACCTCTGCAGCTTGAAGGCATGGCTTTGCTGAACCAAACTGTTGATGATATTACAGACCAAAATCGAATCCTTCCCAGTCAGATCCCTCCCAACTCATCCAATCTTGCAGTGTCAGTGAGCAGTCAAGGCCACACTGATGGCCACAACAGGTTATTTCCAAGCGGCAGTTTTGTATCACCTGCTCTGAGGCAAGCTGAAGTTCAGTGTAATTCTCAGTCTTCTGTCTCAGATCAGGCAGGGCAACATCTTCAGCCTATTCAGCATGTGCCTGCTCAAGGAATGGCTCATCTTCATAATAATCACCCATACATAAAACAGCAGCAACAACAGGCTGGGCAGTTAAGAGAAAGACATCAGTTGTATCAACTACAGCATCACATTTCTCATGCAGAAAGTTCAATCCACTCTCAAGCCCACATTGTCCACCAACAAAGAGTAATGCATCAAGAGGCACAAATGCAAAAGAAAAGAACACTTATTCAAGCAGCCCAGCCCAGCACACTTGCTTTACAGCAGAAACATCATGGCAGTGACCAACCACGGCCAAAGAGCAGCCAACCGCATCCTCATCATACACAGATTCAGCAGATGCAGCAACATTATGCATCTTCTCAGCCTGAGAAGAGCTGTGAGAATCCTGCTGCCAGTAGAACTCACCATACTCATCCTCAGAACCATCTGAATCAGGACATTCTGCATCAGCAGCAGCCAGATGTGGGCAATAGACAGGCAAGTTCAGGAGTTTCTTCTGAACATGTGCCAGGACACAACCAAATGCAGAGACTCATGACCTCAAGGGCTTTAGAGCAACAGATGGTGTCCCAACCTAGTATTGTCACCAGACCATCAGATATGACCTGTGTTCCTCACAGACAAGAAAGAAATAGAGTTAGTAGCTACTCTGCAGAGGCACTTATTGGGAAGTCTCCTTCTAATTCAGAACAGAGGCTAGGAATATCCATTCAGAGCTTGAGGGTTTCGGACCATCTTGAAATGAGAAATTACCTTGATGTGTCTAGGAATAAAGGACTAGTAATCCATAACATGCAAGGCCGCATGTCAGTAGACCATACGGCTGGATCGGATGTTCAGAGACTTCCCGAGTGCCAGACATTCAAGCCAAATGGTCCTAACCAACAGCCCACAAACAATTTTGATGTGCAGTCCTCCCGAAGTGGTGAAATAGGTAACTCAATGTCCTCTCTCAGGAGTATGCAGACACAGGCTTTTCGAATTGCTCAGAATGCTACGCTTCCTGTAGACAGACAGAAGAGGTTGCCGTATCAGCCAGTTCAGGGCATTTCAGCAGGAAATCCTCTTCCTCTCCCGAGGGATAGTGAGAATGTATGTCATCAAGGATTCATGCAGAGTTTACTTGCCCCTCATCTTGGAGATCAAGCCAACACAAGCCAAAGACCAATTTCAGACCATCAGAGAAACACACAATGTGCTACTTCTTCAAATATTGAATATAATTGCCCCCCAACAAGAGACAGTATTCACATCCGACGAGAAAGTGATGGCCAGAATAGGGAGAGTTGTGACATGTCCCTTGGTGCTATTAACAGTAGGAACAATTCATTGAGTATCCCCTTTTCAAGTTCTTCTGGAGATATTCAGGGTCGCAACTCGAGTCCTAATATTTCTGTCCAGAAATCTAATCCCATGAGAATGTCTGAGAGTCATGGAACAAAGGGACACATGAATACTCCAGTGTCTAGCAATGTGCACGGGGTTGTTCGGCCTCCCCTTCACCATCCACCAGTCTCCCGTGGGAATGCTGAACAAGTCCCACCCTCTATTCGTCAACCAAATTCTTCAGCTACTCAACGATCAAGGCATCCTTTGCAAGATAATGGTGGTGGTTCTAAAATTCGCCAACCTGAAAGGAATCGTTCTGGAAATCAGAGACACGGCAGTGTGTTTGATCCTAGTCTTCCTCACCTTCCTTTGGCTGCCAGTGGCAGCATGATCCTTGGACGGCAACAACCTACCCTGGAAAAAAGGGGCAGTATTGTGCGATTCATGCCCGAGGGAACACAAGTGTCTAATGATAATGCCACTTCTGATCAACAGTCGCTCCCTCAAAACTTTGGGTTCCCTTTTATTCCAGAGGGTGGAATGAATCCTCCCATAAATGCCAATGCATCATTCATTCCACCTGTGACTCAGCCCAGTGCTACTCGAACGCCAGCCCTGATTCCAGTAGACCCTCAAAATACATTGCCATCTTTTTATCCACCTTATTCTCCTGCCCACCCACCCCTGTCCAATGACATTTCGATTCCTTATTTTTCTAACCAGATGTTTCCTAATCCAAGCACAGAGAAGCCCAGTGGCGGAAGTTTAAATAATAGATTTGGCTCTATCTTGTCTCCTCCCAGACCAGTTGGCTTTGCTCAGCCAAGTTTTCCTCTTTTGACAGACATGCCCCCAATGCATATGGCCAATTCATCGCACTTGTCCAATTTTAACTTGACTTCTTTATTCCCAGAAATAGCAACAGCTCTTCCTTCAGACGGTTCCGCAATCTCGCCTCTACTGTCAATAGCAAACACTTCTGCTTCGGACTCTTCCAAGCAGTCGTCAAATCGCCCTGCTCATAACATAAGCCATATTCTAGGTCATGATTGCAGTTCAGCTGTATGAAAATAGTGGGCTGGGTGTTGGAATGATTTGTTGTTGTGTGTATGCATGTGTGGAAATGCAGTTTATGTATTCACATGAATGCATTTGAAATTGCCATTCCTAAAGAGATGGCTTAACAAGCATCACTGCTTGGAATAACGTATACATGGGTAGGTGCGTCACTGTTCCTACACACCCATGTGGCTACCTTAATGTATCAGTGCCTATCTCAGTGCTCAGTACCACCTTGATCTCTCCTAACAGTATATGATATTTCAGATGATCATTTCGGGGCCAGGATGAACCCTCTGAAGCATAACTAGACATCAAGGACCCTGGAAAGTTGCAGTTATAATCCTTGGAAAGTAGTTGTTTCACTCCCACTGGAACAAAACTTTTGAATCTGTTTTTGCTATCTCACTTGTTGGATTTTTGTATTAAAATTTGGCAGAGGAATTTGCTGGGTTTCTAAGGTACGTTCTGGTATGTACATAAAAAAAAAAACTAAAGCCATGCCTAGCTTCTGAGGAGCAGTATGAAAATTGTATAATGGCAAAATTTGCTTTTCTCCTGAAGCATTTATTTTAATGCTTGTCCATTGAGATTTTTTACAATCAGTTCCTGCTAACAGTGCATAAATTTTTAAAACAGAAAATATATTGGTAGTTTCTCCACTGCCTTCAACCTGGAATTCATTCTTGCTATTGCCAGTTTATATGCTGTGAGCTTTCTCAGGTACCACGTTCATTTCTTGTGTAGTACATTTCTAAGCAGAAATCCCTTTTTCTTTATTGTTCCTCTAATGTTTTTTCCTTACCTTTCCCCCATGTTAACTCTTGTAGCACAGAAGCATGTCGTGTGAACATAACTGCTAGGAATTTTGTTGGGTGGCATTACAGGCAAGTTTGGAATGAATAATAAGTGCTGATTTACATGTATTTAAATGCTTTTTATTTACACAGCACCTTCTGTCTAAACCAGAGACTTTTAAAGAAGACTGGGAGGAAGAGTCTGTGAAAGTTTAAGCACTTGTCAAATAGGTCTTGGGAGGGTGAGCTGAAAGTGGAGCTTAACAATGCCAATGGGATGATGGGTAGTTAAAGCTAAAAGAGTGAAACACTAATTTGATGACCTAATATTTAAAGTAGGGCAAATAACTGGTGAATATTTTAAAAGCAGTACAAGCATCATTGCTTCACACCCCTTTCAGTAGTTTAAATCAGACAGCTGTCGATCCATCTTGCTTCATTTCTGGTAGCCAGACTATCACAGTGGCAGGCAGTCATTGGCCACAACCATTTACTTGTTCAGTTGCTGGTTTCTTCTATTTAGTTCCACAAATTGGTAATCGGATGTTTTCCATGAAATGGCAATCTTAATTTTTATTATACACACAGTTTTCTTCACAGTGAAATGGTTTATTGAGAAGACCTTATAATGCTCGTATTATATAGTCCATTCCGTCAAACGGCCCATTGGAAGTGAAAAGGTTTTGGATGCTAGTATGTGAGGGTAAACTTTGTATCATCAGATATGAAGGCTATGCTTAAGATTGCAAATATCATCTTGAGCAGTAATTGTGGTTGCCCTTGGTAGAGTAATTCAGTCTAGATCTCTGGGTTTCTTTCCAGTGTGTGAGGGATTACTCACAGGCAGTAAGAATATATGCAATCAAGCATATAATGTGAAGATATCTAGAGCAGTGGTTTTTAACCTTTGTTACTCGGATGTTTTTGAACTGCAACTCCCAGAAACCCCAGCCAGCACAGTTGGTGGTGAAGGCTTCTGGGAGTTGCAGTCCAAAACTCCTGAGTAACCCAAGGTTAAGAACCAGTGATCTAGAGCATATGGATTCCTAATGTGAGTAATTCAGAAATGACTCTCAAGTAACCAGAGGTCTGTTCAGGTGTTATGGATTTTGCCTCTACTCTGTACAGGAAGAGGGGAGTGATTTAGCCCCACCTGCCTTCATTTCTGGTTTCATTTCCCATGGAAGGTATCGAGTCTAGACATCCCCATGGATGTTTTGGGACCCTGCTTCTCCAGGGTCCTTACTCCCATGGAGTGTCTGTGGACATTGAATCTATCCCTTCAAACATGGTAGCCTTTTATTCTTAGGAAGGAGATGAAAACCGAAACAAGGCTGGTGAGCTTAGCTTTAACCGTGGTGAGAATATACAAAATAAATAAGGCTTGAAGAGACCTTGAGTCCCTTTGATTTTTCCAGGACACAACCCAGGCAGGCTATTTAGTTTTTTCTGGAGACTTCTCACAGGAACATTTAACTATTTAGAGATAGCAAAACAGTTGAACTAGAGGTGGGTCACGCTTCCTTTATTTCCAACAACAAAAACTCTGTGGATAATTTAATATCCCAATAGTTTTTGAAAGGTTTCATTGTTCATGGTGATAAAACACTATCCTTAACCATTAATAAGTAATTCAGTCCATACCAGTCCATTATGTATTGAGTCTTAGACTAATTTTATGCACTTAAGGTGGTATAACTGATGTGCCTTCCTGAACAGAAACTTTTTTTGTAAGATTGCACAAGTTCCTTCTGTTAAATTCTATTCCCCCCCCCTTCCCCTCACTGTCTCAGCAATTATTGACTATTTTTAGGCTATTGGTTATGGGTGCAAGTGTGCCCTCACTGTACTCTACTAGTTCAGAAAGCAGAAGCGCTATCTGAATTGCCACTAGAAAAAGCTCCCCCTCAGTTAATTACAATTGAATTCCTGCCAACTGTGTTTCCTGTTTCTACATAGTGCAACTCTTACCATATTGTGTTTATGAAATTTTCTGGACAGTTGCTGTGCTACATGCAGGTGAAGTTTTCCTAAGGTGACGGTGGCATATGTAACTTGCATATTTTAGAAGCACATGAAAAGCTGACCTCTGGTAGGTTGGATCCAGGTCAACTGTTGGGAGTCATAGACAGAAAGGATTATTCCTACCCCTTTTCCCCCAGCATAAGAGTCTCTCCTGAGGAGTAGGTGGCCTGTGGTATTGGCAAGATGAGGGGGAGCAACTGGAATTTGGGAGGAGGAATCTATTATAAACCAAAGGGGTGAGTCCTTCAGGAGAAGAGAATTCCCAGCTCCATAATTTGGTGGGAACCTCTCAGGCTGAATTATGGGACAGGGAGCTATCAGAGGGCAGAAAGTAGAGCAGTCCTCTTCCATGCTGTTTCTTTGGGCCTCTAAAAGGCATACCATTGCCCCTTTCTGAGTCACAAGGATTCTCCATAACACACATGGATGCATGGAGAAAAGGGTCCTTACATAGGCTGCCTCCTGCCATTGTCCCATAATTTAACCTTGGGGTATATATGTGTTCCTGCTGAATTATGGTACTGATCCCCCCCCCCCAGTGTCCCATTCCTAACATGAAAGGTGCCTCAGATTCATTTTTGCCTCCCCTCAACTCCCTCTGTGCCGTAACTACCCCATTCAGCAGTGTCTCGGCCTTTGAGATGAGGGAGGCATTCCTGGATAGGAGACAAAGGAGGAGCATGTTACCTGCCAGTGTTTCTTTGGCTCCAACCCATTGTTTGGATTAAATTTGGTGGAAGTGTGAAGTTTTTGTTCTCTTTTTTTTGGGGGGGGGGGATAGTTAACAATCTCTAAACACAAGTACTTCTCTAAAGATTGCTAGCATTTTTTTGGCTTTACCTTATCTGGCTTTAGAAATGGAAGACACACCCTACTTTCAATGGATGGAAATGGTAGTGTTGGCTGTGCAATGGCTGCTGACTTCCTCTAGTAATATGTAGTGTAATCACATTTTTCTTCTTCCCATTCATTGGTTAACATTTTGAGGATTAAGTAAGATAAGATTTTTGAATTATTCTGCATCTTCCTATGCTTAGAAAACATGCAATTTGGGTATTTAACTAATGGATAGCAGGTAAGTTGACTAAAAGTAAATATAGTTACTTGCTGAAAACAATAGTCAAGAGAAAAATATATGTTGTCCCAAATGACACTGTTACTAGTGTAAACTTGGACATAAAATACTGTTTCTATGCAAAAGGTTTAAGGATATCTGGAACTCTGTTCAAATTACCTGTCAATGGGTTGGATGTGGCTGAAACAAATGCTAGAAAATACTTGGCTTTTAAGGCATCACAAGAAAAGGAATCAGTTGTTTCTTCTTAGGCATTTTTCTTATGCTTCCACAGTTTTTGTCTTAGGTTTTTTACACAGGGGCTGGGAAACCAGCAGCTCTCCAGATGTAGTGAGCTCCGGTTCCAGTCACCTTTCGCCAATTTGTCTAGTGAGGAGACATGGTGGGAGTAGGAGTTCATCAGCATGTGAAAGGCTACAGTTTCTGTCAGGTTCCCAGAAGTTTATGGCTGGTAGGGTCATCTCAGCCATTATCTCCTAGCTCTCTTAATTCAGATCTCCAGTATGTGATCTTGCCAATATCATGTTTGGTACTTTGTTCTCAGTGTTTCTTCTTAAGTGTTAAGTCACTTAAGAAAGGGGTGTGAAACATGGTGGATTTCCTGAGTCTTTAGGGCCTATGGGATGCCAGCTTCTGGGTGCATGCAGAACTGAACAGTTCTCCTCAGTAATGAATAGAGTTGCAAGAAGTGTGTTATATGTAAATGTAGATGTTTTTAAAGTTGTATGGGTGTATAATGCATCTTTTGTGTTCTGGCTGGGTACAAGCAGCCAGGCCTTGCTCTTTTGCTGGAGGGGGGATCAACATCTATGCAGCAGGACAAGCTGTCAACGCCTCTCCTGTGGCAGACCCTTGTCTCAGTGATATGCTGCTGTGCCTGGTTCCCGTAAGCATGTACGTTATACAGTATTCCCTCTCTCCTTGAATTTAAGAAATGCTTTGTCTTGAACTGTGCCACAGGTTTTCTGCTGTGTGTCCTCTAAATTTCCAACCACTATGTTATGGCCCCTAAAGACTCTTTTACTGCCCTGATACTGAAAAGTGTAATGACACTGGTCAGGAATATGACTTACTGTAAATAAGATTTTGTTCTGTTTATTTTGACATCTTTTTTATAACTTCACTGCATTCATTTGTAAATATTTGCAACAGTGATTTTAATGAAAGTTCACAGATTTTTTTATTAAGTGTAACATTTTACTGAATGTAAACATTGTATAGATTCAAACAAAATAGTATTTTATTTTAAAAATCTACAGTTTTTGTACTTTAATTTTTTGGTAATGCACATATTTTCTTCTTTCCATTCCAGAAGACAAAACTGGGGAAAAAAAGCTTGCAATTCTGCACAGGTCCAAAGTTGCAGTAAAAATTACAGGCTTGTAACTTTAAAAGGTGCAAAGAATATCAAGTCAAGAAATTCAATCTGTGGTTATCCACAACTTCTTTAACTTTTATGATTCTTGCCTTCTTAGGTATATTGGTAATTTTAAATTAAGCTGAATTACTGTGTGTTTACAAACTGTCCATTTATGCACATATTCATATCCTATCAGCCACCACCAGTCCAGCCAGCTGATCCAACTCTTGTATGTTAAACACCTCCAAAAGAGAAAGGACAGGAGACCTAAGCTGGTCTGCAATTTAAGTGCCTCCCCCAACTTCTGGGTCAGTCTTGCCCACTTTCAACAGGTGGCCTCCAGATGTATTAGTGTAATTCAACTGCTCTTTAGCCCTTTGCAGCATGGGGCTCTGTGAAATAAAGTAGACATGCTGGACTACAAGTTCTTTCATGCAGGAATAAGAGTTTTAAAAATTTTATGCATAACTTAAAACTCAGAAGCACATGGTCATGATGACTGTACAAACATCCGTTTACTTCAGATGAATTCTGTGCATAAGCAAAAAAAAACCTTGTTTTTTTGTTATTGTTCTCAAGTTTCTTTCAAATACTTGCAAGCCAGTCACATCCAGTACTGGACCAAATGAACACATTCCAGTATCTGGTATTCTTATACCAAGGTATTTTTTCAAACTAGCAGATAGGTCGGGCTGTGTTCATAGCTGCTGTAAGAAGCAAGAGGAGAAAAGCCAAATATCTTTACAGACCTTGGAATAATTACCAGTGTAATCACAGTGAGATATAATCTCATGTTTAAACAATCAAGTGGTCCACAGAGGATGCAGAAGTATCTCACACCAACTCTTCTTGTCTCTCTTGTGAGAGACAAATTAATGAGCAATCAGCAGCAGCTATGTCCAAGAGAGAGGAGGGTTTGGCAAGGGCAAATGACTTTGAGGCACGGTAACACTGTGGTGTTTGCACTGAGCTTTTAGGTCACTGTTCAGAAAAAGAACAGAACTTGTCACTTTAACTAAATGGGGCTGTTGTAACGAAAAAGTAAATGTTAAGGTGATTATGTATAACAGCAGGAGGAAAAGGCGAATTCCATATGAGAACAGAGCAAATACTCAAATGTCACTAGGTTAGGTGCTTTCTGAAATGTGCCCCTCCCTGTCAAAAGAACTCCAGTGCTGCCCGAGCACCTACGTAATATTTCTCAGGCTGCACAGGCATAGAAAGGAAGGGGGTGCACTTTCAAAGCAGGAGTCTTCCAGGACAAAAAAGAATAGGTTTTGTTGGCTTACATGATGAGTTAAAAGACAAACAAATGGTGACAAATTAAGCAGTAGAATACAATCACAGTATATCAGGTAGCGAAATCACAGCCAAACGAGGCAAGACACAAGCAAGATCCTGTGTACAACTTCTAAAAAAATGCTCAAGAGTCTCTGCACATGGTTCAGAGGTTCGCACCAGATCATTGGAGCAGCACCATAGGTGCTGTTGGTTTCCCTCCCCGCCCCCACCTTGGCTGGATTCCCCCACTCAACAGCTGGTGTGTACGGCTGTTCTTCTCTTTGGGCATTTGACCAGTCCCAGCAAAGAGTGCGTGCTTCCCTCCTGCAGCAGCCACTCACTCAAAGGCCAGGGCTGTAGGAATCCCTGCCCTGCCACCTCCCTCTGAGGAGGCTGGTGGAGAAAGGAAGCATGAACTCCCGCTGGGACTGGCCGAACACACAAAAAGGAGAAGAGCAGTGCATGCTGGCTATTGAGTTGGGGATCCGGCTGCAGGGGTGGGGGAAGGGAATACGCAGCACCAGGGGTGACGCTCTTGACGATCCGGCACAAACCTCCAAACCGAGGCTCGTGCCCACTTTATACTCGTAATCTGGCACGTGACCTAAACTGGGCGGCAGCAAGAAATGCCATTGGTCTTTTCAGGTTTTCCTGCACAGCAGGCCAGAAAAAGATGCTAACTAGAAGGGAAATGGGCAACTAGTGAAAAATGTCCCAACAATCACAGCAGGAGTTTATCTCAACTCTGGAACTATGTACATTACTTTGCTTTTTTGTGACTGGTCTTCAGGCACAGGATTCCTTGGAAATCAGACCTTACAATCCTGAAAAGCTTGCCTCAGTTCCCTCTGTGCCTAGGTTCCCTTTAGGATCTGTTTCTAGTTTGGGCTGTTTGCTTCCTTCCAAGGTCCACCTGGTGATCTGCTATGGCTGACAACAGTATTTCTCGGTGAGCAGCACTGTTTTTCTGTCATGGTTCAGAAAACAGGTATCTTGTCTCTTCTCACAGAGTCCAAGTCATCATCCAGAGTGAGAAGGACCTAGAATAAACACCACAAAAATGAGAGTCATATTTTTAAACACAACTTCCTCTAGTACTCTCATCTCCGTCAGGAAAGCAGGTAGGAAAGAGTTAATGACTCAAGAGACATCAGACTCAACTATCATGATGTTCCTTTGAATATCTAGGGATAGTTTTCTTCACCACCTTGTTGGCTGCAAATGTCACCACTAAGGAGCAGAATCTACTTTGATGATTTTCTGCTACAAGGAGAAAAGTGGAAATCTTCACTCAGTTCTAACAATTCTAGTACAGTGGTGCCTCGCATAGCGAGGTTAATCCGTTCCGGATTAACCCTCGCTATGGGAAACATCGCTCAACGGAACAAAAAAATCCATTAAAACGCATTAAACTTGGTTTAATGCGTTCCAGTGGGCCCTAAACTTACCGTTGAGCGAAGCTTCTCCATAGGGGCGGCCATTTTCGCGCCCTCGCTTACCGAGGGCGCGGCGGGAAAAGTTGTGGCGGCCATTTTGGAACTGCCGATCAGCTGTTCTCCCCCGCTTCGTTGTGCGAAAATCGCTAAGCGAATCGCTTAGTGATCGTCGCACAGCGAAAAAACGCCATAGGGGCCATCGCTGAGCGAACGCTCGAGCGATGGCCCAGATCCCCTCGCTATGCGAATTCATCGCTCAACGGAGCGATCGCTAAGCGAGGCACCACTGTACATACAATGGTAAATAGCATACAGTGGTGCCTCGCTTAGCGATGTTAATCCATGCAGCAAAAATTGTTGCTAACCGAAAACATCGCTATGGAGGATCTTCGCTGGACAGTGAGTTTCAAGCCCCTAGGGTTTTAATGCGTTTCTGTGGGCTTTTTAAAATCACATCACGACGTTTTCGTTTTACAGCGATTTTGCTGGAACGAATTAACATCGTAATGCGAGGCACCACTTATTTTAAGTTATCTGGCTGTGGAGTCAGAGATTCGGAGTTCACTTTCTTTTCTTCAATTAATTTTTATCCTGTCTCCCAATTCAGACACTCAAGGCAAGTTACAAAAGGGCAGCAGAGAAACAGGTGTATAAAAATATTAAACGTTTTATAAAACATACAATAATAAAATAGCATTGAAATGAAAATAATTTAAAAAGACAGCCAGAAAAAAAGACACCTATCCAAAAGAACTTCAAAAGAGAAATAAGAAGCTCAGCATCTCAATGAAAAAACTCTGTAGTATAAACAGTAGTTAAAAATTTGGCTCCGCTTTAGTGAACTACAAAAGATATTTCTTTCCAATTATTCCCCGACCCCCAGGAGCAAAACTAGCAAACTTTAAATTTGTAGAAAGAGCTTTCTCAATAAACCCTGGAAACTATATTTATTGCAAAGGTGCACTTTCTACCCTCTGTGTTTTTGTATTCATGAATCCATCCTAGGCAAATTACAACAAACCCCAGTGGTTCTAAATGTTCTCCTAATGCCTTTTTTTCTTCTGTGGTAGATGAAGAGGCATCTCTTGAGCAAGTGTTCTCCCTACCAAATGGAGGAAATGCAAAATGTATGTGAACAGGAAGGTACCCCTAAAACTAATACCAGTACCTCCTTCAGTTCAGAGTTTCTGTTTCAAGCTGCAGCAAGAGGAGCAGGCAACTAAGGCAACTGTTTCCAGCTCATGGCTACAAAACCAAGGAAGAGGTTTTTGGAACCTTAAGAACCAATTTTGAAAGTCAGTGTAGTGTAGAGTAGCCTCCAGCTCAAGAGAGCTCGGTTCATCTCTTCACTGCTTGAAAGTGCTTACCAACACTCAACTCAAGGAACTGTAATACACTTTGAAGTGTGTTTCAGAGATGGTGTAGGTACCCATGCTGTAGTCCCACTCCAGTGCCTGATAGCCTGGTCTTTTTCTACATGAAATTAGACTGGGACTTAGGCACAACACCCTAAAACAGAGGTCAGCAGCATAACAGCCCCTGTAGGACACTTTTGTGACCTACAAGGTCACCTGTTGGCAATTTCAGGGGGAAAACCCAACACATTTTTGGTCCAAAAAACTGTGTTCTGACTTCCCAAGGTCTCAGGAAAGTGGGGGCATTTATCTAACGCCCTCCAAAAATCCTGGAAATACTGAAACCAGAAGTTCCTGGTCAAAGGCATTTCCTCTTTGTTTTGTTCTTTTAAAAAAAGGAAATTGACATTCTTAGGCTGGTGCAGCAGGGTATGGAACAAAAATATGGCAAGACAGTTGCAAAGCCAGAAAATGTCCTAACTGGGCATTTCATCTACACATTAAATCCTTTTGGAGAGGCCCTTTCTTTGTCAGTGTACAGACTGCCTAACTCTCCTTAGTCTTGAAAGCACATCTGTTATCTTCCTCCTTCAGCCACAAGGGAGCTCACATGAAAAGGGGCATTTCCAAACCTCCTTTCCCCTAGCAGAGAGTGGGCAGGGGAAATCAGCAACTTCCACAGCACAAAAGTTGTACCTATGTCAGATTGGTATATTGGTCCTTCCGACCATTTCATCACTACTGACCCAGGGTAAATCTAATCTGACACATATTGCTTTAAAAACTTGGAAGCTCATGCTTTTAACATGTATATGGCGCTAAGACCTTTGGTTATTGGGCCATTTTAAAATGCAATAAATAAACAATGAATAAAAATAAATGTTAGGATGATCTACTGTTAGATAACTTTTGGACCGTGTGTTTTCTTTGTCTTCAACAGCCACATTCCTCTTTCCCAAAGAAACAAACAGAACCTATAGCAATCCAAGCCATAAAAAGCAACTGGTTGAAAAGTATGGGAACCAGGACACTCAATTAGACAGGATACAGCAGGGGCTTGTTTGTTATGCCTCTGTTTTCCTTGTTTATATTTGCATTATAGATGCATGAAAGCAAAAAGTACTTTAATGTTCTGTTTGTAAAATACACAGTTTGGTACAACTATATGAAGCTACGTAGGTATCCACATGGCCCGACTTTGCTGAGAAACAGAATGAGCAGCCTTACCAAAAAGGAGAAGAACAAAGCAGCTGCTGAGAGGAAATGCCAGACATCGTGATCATCAAAGAAACCCAAAAGGATGCACGGACGGTTTTTCTCTCTGGATTCAGCTGGGGTTTCCTAGGGAAAAGAATGATTTAAGAATCTTGTGATTCTACCTGGATTCCTTCAATAGGCTCACAGATTGCAAACTGAGTGATTGGAAGACTGGGTTGCAAGAGGATTGTTGAAATCCAGCATCTCAGCTGATGTCTAGCAACGTTTTGAACTGCAGGACAAAGTATGAAAACAAACCACCCAGAAACAATGGGATAGCTTGGGTAGCTCGGTACATCAGAGCCCCTGTGGAACCAGAGATGGGGAGTTTGATTACCCATGGTGCTTTGTAGGAGAAAGCCAGCCGGTGTCCTTGGGCAAGGTACCTGGCCTGAGGGCACCCCCACAGGAAATGAAAAGATCCTGGCAACAGTCACCATAAGCTGGAGATTTTGGCACGTAATCATTGCTCTCTATAAAAATGTAGTTTCCAAGGCTGTTCAAGTAAAAACTGTTAGCAGGTTCCCTTTTGCACTGTTTACACTTGTTCAAAAGTGTGCAGATCTGGTCACTGTAATAACATGATATCTGAAAAAAAAGGGCCATGTTCTCCGCGCATGGTACACAACGGCACTTCTCAGCTACTTGAAGGCTTGTCACATGGAAGAGGGCCAAGACCTGTTCTCGGTTTCTCCAGAAATGTCTGCCTCCAGCAAGGAGTTTGACCAGAGAGCAAAGAAGCTCAAAAGGCCATGGAAAGGGAAAGTATGAGTACAAGAAAACTAAGTGCAAGTGAGCACCCTAGGTAAGGCAGCTGAATATGTTTATGCGAAACAGAAGTTAAGGCTGGGTTCCTTAGCTTACATGTCCATTTTTGATGTGTATGTAAGTAAATCTATAAGAAGATACTCCTCTCTTAAACCAGGGTAGAGAATCTTTTTTTTTCCTATGGAGAGTCAACAATCCATCAAAAAGTCAAAGAACATGAACACGGGTCCATTAGAGCCATGTCCAACTCTGGGCAAAACCAAACCAAGAGGTGGACAAAGTTCACAGGACAGCCAGGTTGTATTTCCCACTTCTCTCTTCCCCACCTTGCTCCATGGGCCCTGTTCTACCCTCTGGTGTCTGTGCTATCCCACCTCCGCTGACTGCACGGAAGGAAGTGAGCCCATGACACCAGATTTTTTCACCTCCATCTTAAACCCAACCAAGGGTGTTTTGATGTTAGCATTTAGAGGCTCACAACGCAGGCATGCTCTCCAATTATTTTTCCTGATCCGTCAGAAAAACGGATGGAATGTATTACTGAAATGTAAGAGCGAAAGAAGATCAGGTACTTACCTCCCAGCTGCTTAGGTTTTGGAAAAAGAAATAAAGAGCTGCAGCCCAAACCACAGCAGTGGCCACAATACAGAAAAGGGGGATGGGTAAGAGCCTCTCTGAGCTGCGGAGCTGGAAACAGGGAAAGAAAAAAAAACCTATTTTAAAATAATCCCTTCAAAGTAATCACATTTAAGAGCTCAGCTGCACATATTCAAGCCAGAGTTGCATTGTCTGTGATTCCCACCTAAACACATCTGGAAGGCAGCTGGTTCTTCAGGACAATTAAGTAGGAATCTGCCTGAATTTCAGTATCTATGCTATCATGTTTTTGGCACCGCCAGCAATCAGACGGAGCACCTTAAAAGTACCAACAATACCTTTCTGGGCAATTGTGTTTGTGATATTTGTAGTGATCTGAGAAAGGTGTCACTTAATCCGGAATTGTTTTTCTACTCATTGTTCATGTAGCTAGCCTTTGTTTTTTTAAACTTCTCAAAGACTAAATGCCTGCCCAGGTTACAGCTAGAAAAAGAGACCAAGAGTTTATTCCCACAGCCAAGGTGGGCATCAAAGAAGCTTTGAGGCATCTCAAGCTTTGGGGTGGAGGGCAACCAAAGGGGACAAATTTCTGGGTGCCCATATTTTAGGATAAGACAGGTAGAGGGACTTTGCACAACCCACTTTCCCGTATCAGAAGTTCTTACAGGAAAGAGATAAAGAGGCTGCTGGTACTACTTACCTTCATGATGACATAGAAGGCGAGATACAGCAAAAGGTTACAGATAAAGATGCCCAGCAAGTAGGAGGCAAAGTCCTTTGGCCGATATACTAGTCCAAAAATGGCACTAAGGAAGAAGACGAACAAAGACAAGGTGATCCAAGGTGGTGCACAGAACCCTGCCCTGCTGTTCGGCATCTGTGTAGAACCACCATCAACTTAAAAGCTTCACACCCCATAAAGTGTGCTGCCTATATACTGCCCCATAGCACTTAAAGCACTCTCCGAAGGCTACACATCATAATTATTGCCTTAGACTTTTAAAAAATGGAGCTGCTTTACATTACGGCCATCATGAAACATCTTTTAGACCCTTCTGGTTGAAAGGCAGCTGAGTTTAGGGATCCAACAGGTGTAAGCCTGGGGTTTGTCCTACTTCCATCCAGAAGTATTTGTTTGAAGAGTGGGGATAGGCCATTATTCTGGGTTTTCTATAAACATTCTTACTGTAACTCCACTAGTGTAGGTAAGTCAAGACATTAAGCGATGTCTTGACTGTGGCTTCTGGTAACTGAGGCAGAAAAGAGGAGACAGCACCCTAGAGAGCATGTCCAGATGAAGCATTTCTTCCTCTCTGCTTTGTGCTGGCTGGTATTTGTGCTAATTAAACACAGATCTGTGGGTTTTGCTTGTTTGTTTAACCAAAATAATTCTCATTTGAAAGGAGAAGCTCTAAACTGCACTGTCCGTGCAGAAACACACACACACAACCTTGCATCATCTGGACAACAGGAAAAATGCAAGTATCATCAGTGCACAAATGCTCCATCTGGATGAGCCCCCCGGTTATTGAGTGTGCTCATAGATATGAACACATGGACATGAATTCACACATGCTGTGAGAAGACACATGTAAAGGGATACCTGAACCTTCGTGCACCCAAAGCTCGGAGCCACCATGCTCAGGTAAATCTATTTCTTAGGGGAGGTATGTACAGTATTTGAACCAAAATATACCGTCACTTGTCCCAGCTCCCGCCAACCTAGTGGTTCGAAAGCATGCAAATGCAAGTAGATAAATAGGGACCACTTCGGTGGGAAGGTAACAGCGTTCCGTGTCTAAGTCGCACTGGCCATGTGACCACGGAAGATTGTCTTCGGACAAACGCTGGCTCTATGGCTTGGAAACGGGGATGAGCACCGCCCCCTAGAGTAGAACATGACTGGACAAAAACTGTCAACGGGAACCTTTACCTTTACCTTTTATACACAGTCACTGCATGGAGATTAGCAAATACTATTCTAGCAATGTTAACACAGTACAGTATTAGTTTACTCTCAAATGATTTCGCCTGATGCACACCAGGCACAAAAACAAGCTTCCATGAACTAGTCCTGGATAAAGGTGTGGCAAA